AGATCTTACCCAGGAAGATACAGGATCAATGAAGAATTGGAAGACTTGACGTCGCTCATCCGAGTACATAGTCAGTACCGGGTCGACAGGTTTCCCCTCCTTGAGGATCAAGATAAGGGCGTCGCTGAGAGCAACGGATTCCATTAGACAGTTGCTCAGACCCAATCCACCAATAACCTATATCATCAAAATTAGCTCTAATAGACCTGCTCGAATGTTTGTCATGCCTCATCATCTCCTACATTGTTCACGTGTGCGGCGTCGCCAGCTAAGAGACACCTTCCTCGCCTCAGGTTAGAGGCCAGGCGTTGATGAATGGTGTACGTCGCTGCTCTATCGATCTTGTATGTCAAGGGTCGTGGTCCGGCCCAAGCGCGCTCGTAATGGCGTGAAATGTATTCTTCAGAGAGAAGGTCTTTCTCGGTCTTGGTATTGAGCTCTTCGGGATCAACCGCGAAAGTGAGTCTCCACTTCGTCACCTCGCCTTTCACGGGTGGTGTAAGAGGGGTGATGATGGTGTAATGCACCGGCTCCATCAAAAGGGTTGTCGTGACGGGGCTATCTGCAGTGTTTTTCAACCAGACATCTGTCGCAATGAGCTTCTCAGGCCAAGTGTGTCCAGGAAAGGAGATGCCAAGTAGGGACCTAGTTTTGGATCTGCCTCCATCTGAACCCACAAGAAATGAAGCAAAATGCTCCTCGATTTGCCCGGTATTGAGATCTTTGACTGCTATCGTAACGGTTTCGGATCCGTTGGAGCCGTCGTTGAGGATCGAAACCAGCTCTTTATTGAAGAGGACTTGGACACGTCCTGTCTCAGTCGCCTTTTCCATCAAGACTTTGGTGAGCTCAGGTTGCGCCATGTTAAGCATGCTGATTGCTGGGGGTCTGACTGGCGGGCCACTTGGGTCATGCTTCGGGTCTTTCGGGAATGATCCAACAACCTTTCCAGGTTTCTTTCCGCCTTCCTCATTAGAAATTGGAGGCAGACGGATGTCAAGGCCAGTACTGCGAAACCCGCCGCCCTTGATGATGGCATCCCAAATGCCGGCTTCTGCCAAAGCGAACTGAGGTTGAGGGTAAAACATACAAGCCCGAGGAAGCTGGGAGAGACCGCTGTCTTTCTCGAGTATGGTGACGCTAACACCTGCTTTGGCCAGACGTAAGGCAGCAAAAAGCCCCACGGGACCTGCGCCGACGACGAGGACATCAGGGTTAAGTGGTAAAGATCCCATAGTGTCGTAGATAGGAGAGGAGGACCAGTATGTGTCGATATAGGTAAATTGGTGTAAGATACTAAGAAAGACTCGACTTATAGGACTAAGGTCATGCACGCACATGTTTGGTGTTAGAGGCTTCAACAGTTCTTATAGCCCCGAGTCCAATATAGACGGTCTTCAAGCCCGTATCTTTTTACACTCGTTTAAGATACATGGCCGTGCGATGATGTGAGGGCCAAGGCTGGGTTACGGCTGTTGCGAAACGGATAATTACTGAATCCCTCCCTTTAGCAGTGCGATTGTCATGTTCCAGGTTTGGCTAATGGAAAGGGATGCCGACTTACGCAACGAGGGTGCAGCTCTTGCCCAGGCCTCACCGTCATCGCCGAAGTTGCATGTATTCGTCAGCGGACGGCGTGAAGGCCGCTCGGTATCGAAATAAGCCCCGAACTTCTGAAAGAAGAAGTTAGAGGGAGGTCACCCCGGGACGCCGTAGTCTCGGCTGCAGATGGCCGGGGGGTTGAAGCGCCCCGGCCCGCTAGCCCAGCCATTTAATGATGCAGTCTAAGCAAACTTTATCTGGCCTCACTCGCTTGCTTATCTTGTACCCATCCAGTCATCAGCGGTGTCGCCATCCTTGTGTCGCCAGGTAGGTAGGCAGCCAACCTTATTCCAGACCGCCCACATCCCGTAGGTGCATGGGAGTCCTTAGAGTCCAGACTATTTCCCAAGTACCTCTGTGTGTTTACAACAGCCAATGCCGAAGAGGTTTGTTGGATTCTTAAGCTGTCTTCGGCAATGCCACGCGGCAGATCTATTTCGGTACGATACCTACGCTGCAACTGAGCTGGTGTGACCGGACAAAAATTTCACGTATGGATGAGTACACCTCAGTTTCCTATGACGCCGTCCCATATCATACGTTTGTTTGACCATCTACCCAATTTGAGGAATAATCAGGTCTCAACATGAGTTGGAATTATAACCTATATATGGTAAAAGACCGAGCGACTTTTCTAGGAATCACGCAAAGAAATTTCGGCCTGCGCAATAGTAAACCTGAATGTAGTGAGCCTGCGATTTGGTGTAAGGTATCACAAGACAAATAGATGTCCTGTCGTAACGGAGGCCTTCAGAACATACTAGGATGAAGTTGGCACAAAGCGAATGCGAAAGGTTAATGTCTCTCAAGTACAACTTCTACTAGCCGGCCAAGAGCCAAGGGACTCAATGATCCATTCCCAAATTAGGTACCTCAAACCCATGAACGGCCATACAGCAACCAACTACCAACCCCAATGATAGTCCAGCGGAAGAGCGCACCGGTTCCCGAGTCACTGCCGACCCGAAGAACAGAATCCACCAAAGACTTGAGCCCAAACATTTGCCTTCCATCGCGGTCGAAATCAGGCTTCACGTCGCCCAGCCATTGGGACATTCTCAGCTCTGACTCCAGGTATGGCATGTAGCGAACGCGGAAAATCTTGTCAGCCCAACCAGGGGTCTCGGCGACAGTGCGACGATGCGTGAAGCAGTCAAAGGAAGCTTTGCCGCGGTAAGATCCGTGACCAGAGTATCCGACGCCCCCAAAGGGGAAAGTGTGAACTGCGGCATGCATGAAGGCGTCGTTGAGAGTTGCGCCGCCAGATGTAACACCAGAAAGAACTTTGTTGTAATTCAAGTATTAGCATCAATCACGAGGGGTGTCTATACTATCGGTTCTCATACCTTTCTCGTTTTCAGCCTGGCTACCAAAAGCCATGAGGGCAAGGGGAGTAGAATCGGTCGCATTCGCCACCGCAATCGCATCGTCGATGTTGTCATAGGGTAAAATGGCCCAAATGGGCCCGAATGATTCCTCCTGAACCATAACATCATCCTCGCTCTCCACGAGAACTGCTGTCGGAGCAATGTAAAGATCATCACGGTCTGTTTCTCCACCTAAGACAACTTGACCACGCGAGCTGTCTAGCATCCTCTTCATGCGATCGAAGTGTTGAGTATTGATGATGCGGCAGAAATCGGGGCTTTCTCTCGCGCCTTTCGGGAAGAAGTCGATATAGGATTCTTGGAGAAACTTGATGAAAGGTTTGACCAGGGCTCTCTCAATTAGGACGTAGTTGTGCGAGACACACACTTGCCCGGCATTGAGCGTCTTCCCCCACAGAAGCCTCCTTGCAGCAAGACGGAGATCTGCGTGACTCGTCACGAATGCCGGATTCTTGCCACCGAGCTCCAGACAAACCGGAGTAAGTGTTTCTGCAGCTTTCTTAGAGATGATCTTGGCCACGTTGACTCCACCTGTGTAGAGAATTTTGTTCCACTTCTCATTGAGCAGAGCAGTCGTCTCTGGAATAGCGCCATTGACGATCCTGTACGAGTCAGGATCCAGATAGCCCTCGATGATACGAGTGAGGACCATAGCAGTCGCTGGAGCATTTTCGGAGGGCTTTACAACTGCGGTACAACCTGCAGCTATTGCGCCAATGAGGGGGCAGATATTGAGCTGCACGGGGAAGTTGTAAGTGCCGATGATGAGAACCGTGCCAAGGGGCTCCTTTCTGATCCTTGGTCTAAGAAGAGAGAACGGCAAAGCGACGTCAATATTTTTGTCGTCCTTGACCCATGTCTTCAGGTTTTTAATCGCAAACATGCAGTCGGAGATGCTCCAATCGATATCTGAAACGTGTGCATCATGAACTGGTCGGTTCAAGTCGCACTTCAAAGAATCTCGAAGTAGGTCGATGTTGTCCTTCAAGCCCCAGTATAGCTTTCGGAGCTGGGTCAGACGAAACTCGACATCTTTGGTTTTCTTAGATTTGAAAGTGGCTTGAACCACCTTCACGGCGGCTGAGATATTTTCAAGCGTGGTTGATTCAAACGAAGGGATGCCTGAAGATGCACGTGGTTGCTTGTGCGCCATGACGCCGATATTCCGAAGATGTTGGAGATTGAAGTAACAATGTATCAAAAGAAGTAAAAGTTACAAGAAGACTTAGGTATCTAATGATTAAAATGTCTACTTTTGGGAGGTTTTGGGATTTCATTAGGACAAACTTGAGCGCTGATATTCAAAATCATTCGACATCGACAATAGCCGTCAGTCTATCCGCGTCCTTCAGCTGACAAATGCAACAGTCAAATGAGTAGCATAGTAAAGATCTCATGTTTTAAGCGAACTATCTGATTACAAACCATACCTCTGGTTTAATCTGGGAATTTGAGAGGATGACATAGCTTCCACTAGGATTCAACTTCGACTCGTTGATACCGTAGTGTGTGCCAAGTAATAGGTAAGTTCATGTCTTTTATCTGGCGTGACTATCTTCCTAAGATCCACTCACTCCCAAGTAAGAAGGTCAATTACTGTACCGATAGGCCTCGGAGTCCACAGATGCTGGTGAGCCGGCACTCTGCCGACACAGGAGCGCCAAGCTTTCGTAGGGGACAGCTCAGCTACAGGCATTAGACGCCATGGGTCAGACGCCTCTCAGGCGATACTTACATCGGATCCCTGAATGTTGTGGACGGCCGCATAAACCTTATTTCATTTGCACTACTCGGTTCTTGCTCACGGCAAAATACAACTGGGGCTTATTTTACTTAGCGACAGATATTATCGATCCAAGTAAGTAGATAGTAACGAAGCTGTGGTACTAGTATTCTTTACGAACTTGAAGTGATGATACCCTTAATTGACAATTCACCAACGGAAGCGGCCAGCGTAGTTATACTTAGTTTCAAAGAGGCTCTCTGTATCAATTTGTCTCCGAGTCAAAGATGCAAGTTGACGATGGATCCCAGAGCACGACAACGATGAACATCGTCCAGTCTTCTGGCGAAGCAAAACCTCCAGAGAGCGGGCAAGAAGCCAGTGAATGGAAGTGGGAAGATGACTCGTCTAACCCCTACAATTGGCCCAAATGGAAGAAGAATTTACAGTTGGCGATGATATCTATCGTTGGATTTTCCTGGTAAGCCGGTTTTTCTGTCTCGAACTGGCGTCTCTCCCACAACCCGGGTCGCTAATTCTTTTGATAGCTCAATAGGAACCTCGATCGTCAGTCCAGCTCGATCAAAATTTGTAGAAGAATTTGGTGTGCCGAGTACGGCTGCATTCCTGCCTCTATCTCTATACGTTCTGGCCCTCGGCTTGGGTCCTGTACTCGGCGGACCGTTGTCGGAAACAGCTGGCAGACAAGCTGTTCACATCATTGCCGTAGTCTTTGGAGGGCTGTTTGCATTAGGATCTGGCCTAACCAATAGTTTTTCTGGACTATGTGTGATGAGATTTCTGTCAGGTTTCTTCTATGGGCCCGTCTTGGCTATTGGTTCGGGCGTTCTGAATGAGACCTATCTGCCTGTTGAGCGTGGCTTGCCGTCAACGATCTTCATTTTATCTCCATTTCTTGGACCAGGCCTTGGGTAAGAGAAAGTGAACAGGTGTGAGCCTTGAGTAAATATCGCTGATGATTTATCTAGTCCAGTCTTGGGGTCATTCCTTGTTGACAGAAAAGGCTGGCGATGGACGCAGTACACTCTAGTGTTCTTCTCAGTCTTCTCTTTGATCTGGCTGTTTCTATCTGGAGAGTCCTATCACCCTGTTCTATTGCGTCGTCGCCGAAAGCAACTTGGTCTCGTCGAACCAAGGTCGACTGCGAACTTACAGAAACTGCGACAATTTCTCACCGTTGGGCTGCTTCGACCACTGCATATGCTCTTCACCGAACCGATCGTGGCCATTCTCTCCTTGTATGTCGCATGCATGTTTGGAACACTGTTCATGTTCTTCGGTGCTTTCTTCTATGTCTTTGACAAAACCCATGGCTATACTCTCACTCAGACGGGTCTTGTGTTCTTAGCGATCGCTTTCGGATGCGTGCTTGGATGTATCACCATGGTTCTCTGCGACCATCATATCTATCAGCCCAAGGCAAGACAATTTTCCCCAAGCGAAATCCCCCCTGAGCTGCGGCTCTACCCAGCCATGTTGGGAAGCTTGGGTCTTCCCATTAGTCTTTTCTGGTTCGGCTGGACAGCTAGGCCAGACGTCAATGCTGCGGTCCCAATCATCGCAATTGTCATCTTTGGCTGGGGCAATATCACATTGACCATTAGCTCAATCCAATACCTCGGGGACACATATCATCGCTCTAATGTAGCAAGTGCGGCCAGCGCGAACAGCTTAGCAAGGTATACCTTTGCTGCTGCGTTCCCATTCTTCTCATTACAAAGTGAGTTTCTTGTTCAAACTATTCCCTTGATGGAAAAGATCATAGTGCTGAATTTGAGACCTCGTAGTGTACCAAAAACTCGGTATTGGCTGGGCAACAAGCCTTCTAGGATTTGTTTCACTGGCACTACTTCCAGGCCCTTGGATATTCTTTAAATTTGGCAAACGAATCCGCCAGCGAAGCCAGTATGAGACTGCGAGCTACTAGTTGTAATATTTTACGTTCTTTGGAAAATCCTGCTGCTGACTCTGGTTCGCTTTACTACATTTTGGCCTCCTATTTAGGTAGAGAAAGAAGGCTACAGCGGACAAGGGAACTAGGAGTATTGGTTGTAATACTATTGAACACTCTACTTGGTCGGCGAAAATACATCTCAATCCCCCCGCAACATTGTTGGAACCAAGTTAGATGTGAGCTTACTGATACTCAGTGACTAAATTTTCGATTGCGTTTTGGATGTCATCACGGCGGTATCCTCCCAATAATGCCAGTTCCGCAGAGTCAGGTTGATACTCGACCACCTTGTCACCTGCAAATAGGGTGGCTCGAGGTAGCAGCGGGTGATCCTGACCCAGTGACTCCAACCGTTGACCATTGCCGACCGCTTGGAAGAACATCTGAAAGTACTCCGCATAGGTCATGTTCTGGTCGCCAACCAAGATGGCCTTCCCTGATATAGCTTGGCTGTTCTCCAAAGCCCCCGCGATGGCTTCGGACAGCGATTGCGTGGAAATGAAGTTCAGCCCTCCATGCGGAGCGAAAAGAGGAATGGGCAAATTCTCTCTGGCGTAGTCGATGTAAGCCCGAAACATGGGTACGATCATGCCCGGAACATTCCCAACGATGAAGGGCGCATCTAAACTACAAACGTGGAACTCGGGCCCAGCTAGCGACGTAAGTCCATCCGCAGCAAGCTTCCTGGATCGGACGTATGGGCTAAATGAGATTGCCTCCGGTAAAATATGCGGATAGGCGCTGCCGATATGAATAAACTTCTTGACTCCAGCTTGTTTGGCGAGGTTTCCGAACTCTGGTATGGCCTGGCCGTTGGCATAAAGATAGTGCTCATCCACATGTTGTCCAACAGGCACATGCCGAACGTCGCTGCCGGCAGCAAAGACAACTGCTTCAAATTTTGAGAGGATCTCTTTACCGAAATCCCCGTTCAAATAGTTGCCTTGAATGAAAGGAAGCTCGGACAATACGGGAACATCGCTGGGCCTTTTCCGTCCGGCAATAGTAACATCGCTTCCTTTGGATCGAAGATACAAAGCAGCATGGCCTCCGACCAAACCGGTACCGCCGATGACGAGCGTTTTTGTTGCCATGTTTTAGCGGATGAGATATGATCGTAATTCGTGTGGCTGTTGATGTTTCCATATCGTGTGTACTGACTAGAGAGGAGAATGTTCATCGTTTTATAGTTCTCTCTACGAGAAGAATGTTCTCCGTGTTTACTAGAATGATTTATGCTTCATTACATCATTACCCACATCTGATAGATTTCCTTCCAGCTCGATTCATAAGCCGAGAGAGAATTTCAAAGCTTCGATCGTGTGAATACTAGGGTGAATGCTATAAAGTGCCACGGAAAGCGCGGAAGCCGCGCACCGGGATTAGGATCCCGCAGTTAGTTAGTTGAGATGAAGTGCCAAATTCATTCATTGCAGCGACGAATTCCAGAAGTAGGATCTTGGCATTTTCAGTCTTTCAATATGACAGCTTTCCTAAAGTTTCCGCCTATCCTATTTGTCATTGATCGATCCATTGGAGAGACGCATTGGCTGGCAATCCTCCGAGGAAACCAATGACCCTGACACTGGTAGCTTTAGGATACTATGTCAAAATTCCCCTTGACCCTGGCAAATGTGTCACAGGCAACACAAGGCTTCAGTGACCTTCCATTCCGCATAGCAGCACATCTCATCACGATATATTAGACCCTCGCATCACTGCAGATAGTAAGCATATTCGCAATTGAGCACGAAGATGCCGAGAATGGCAAGTAAAGGGAAGAGTCTCAAGAGGATATGCGTTGATTTGCCTTGTTCTACGAGTTAGTTCCATATGTTGTCGCGGCATGGATAGCTAGCTGGAAAAGGCTCAGCTAAAAGGCAGGCAATTTCTTACGGAACAAGTAGTTCTGAATTTTCGCAAAGCCGCTTGCTAAAGGACTCACAGGATGTTAGTCTGCAGGCAATTAGTAGGATGCCGGCGAGGTTAGGGGATTTATAGGAAGACACGAGTGACTACCAACTGGGGCATTTGGGATAACAAAGATCAAAAAAGCTCTTTTCGGATAAAACATTTAGCTAGGGTCTTAAATTTGTGCAACCAGATGCCCCATAGAGACTAAAGAGGTACCAGCTGGGAGGGGACGAAGCTTCATTTACATTCAGCAATATGGTATCACTCCATTGGCAACCGTTCATGCCCCCCTAAATAATAGCTGAAAATTCCTCTCTGTCGTCCCCTTCATTGATACAACAGACATTCGAACACGGCCCGACTTCGGATCGTCGTTGATCAGTTCCAGCTTAATTGCAGTGCACCAGAATCATGTAGGAGCTTTGGCCATCGAGCCCGAACGACTCGCACATCACCCGAGCCGCTGCCGTCTTTGCCGATCGAGGGGAGAAGAGTACCAGGCGGACTCCTTTATCCGTTAATGCCTTGCTGAACCGCGTTTGGGCTGATCAGTCCTCCTACCATACGAAAAGATTGGATCTAGATTAAGAGGAGTCCTGCTGGTTCACAACTCATAGCTCTACCTCACTGTTGGCGTATCTTGAACGTCGTTTCCCAAGTTTGGTTTTGTTAATCAGGGAAAGTTTCATGAGGTTTGGCAATTGCCGTGCGCACCTTTCGCGGAACTAGGAGCCGTCATTTCCAAACATAGTAAGGATAGTATAATTCGGGGCACTTCAAGTACGGCGTGCATGCCGGTAAAGACTCAAGAATACGACGCAGATCGGGTACGATGCCGAGCAGCATGTAGGTGTACCGAAGGCACAATACAAGGTGAGCACTGCGATCCAGCTGCATATACTTGATCAACTCAATGCCGAGCCGCCTGTCCCAAATTAGCCGGTCACCTTCGGTACCGCAGATATACACTATGCGGTTTAGTCTGGGGGCTTCCCCACACTCTCTGTAATACATGCCGCCAGAATGCAACAGTCTCAGGGAGCATCAGGGGGCTGCAGGTTGAAAGCTTGCGGGGGAACCCCTGCACCATTACCGTTCTAAAGAGCCATCGCCTGCTGTAGCATGAGTCTACGTAGTAACGTCCTGCTTCGTCAAAATGATCCGGCCGAAGGGTTCGAACCACCTCTGCGTTTATCCATCTCCTCATCCAACGAAGTGTCCGCTCATCTAGTTTTGCCTAAATTCCCCCGCCTCGGAAGATGGTATGTTTCGTCCAAATGAGAATATGGACATCAAGAATCTAGCTCACAGGAGAATCGGGCACGCTATGCCTCGATGGTTGATATAATTACGTCTCGAGATGCCAAGAGAATTGTATAAGATCAATGTCACCTGCGTCGATTGCCGAACTCTTGGCAGCCTTGAACCAACTGATTTTCGCCTCGCTCACTTCAACCGTTGACTTTCAAGATGGTTTCCATTCGCTCCCTGATCTTGAGCCTCTCGACTATTTCTACTTGCCTCGCTGCCCCGGCAATCGGGCCAGCTGAGTTGCTGCCTCCTCATGTTGAGCGACGGGGCCCTTCCGACTTCTTCCTGGGACCCAATCACCCTCTCATGCTCGCACGCCGCAATGAGTCCCTCGAAAGACGAGGCATGACTCTTGAGGAGCGCACCAACTACGTCCAAAACTACCAGACTGGCGGCACTGTCAACTTCACGCCCTCGGGCAACAGCTTCAGTCTCAACTTCGATACCACAGACGACTTCGTTGTCGGCGTCGGTTGGAACCCAGGTTCTACCGCCCCCATCACTCATTCCGGTTCATTCGCAGTTACCAAGGGTCTTGCGACCCTTTCAGTCTATGGCTGGACCACCAATCCGCTTGTGGAGTACTACGTCATTGAGGACTCTGCCGGATTTACACAGACCGGGACGAAGAAGGGCACCGTGACCTGTGATGGTGGCTCTTATACCATCTGGGAGAATGTGCGCACCAACGCCCCATCAATTCAGGGCACCCAGACCTTCAACCAATACATCTCGGTTCGCAACAGCGGTCTTACAAGCGGTACGGTGTCTATTTCCAATCATTTCAATGCTTGGAAGAGCTACGGTATGAACTTGGGTACGCTTAACTTCCAGGTCATTGCTGTCGAGACCTGGAATGGCGCTGGCTCGGCAAAACAAACTGTCACCAACTAGTTACTTCATGACTACTTGTTTCGCCCTTATCTTGAGGTCAACTTATCTGCATTTCATTCAACATCGGAAGGCACTTAAGAGATCTGCCAGCCTCAGAACACGGGTTATTACCCTCTATTGTACCTATTCTATTTGGGTCAAAGTATGACCAAGTATCAAATACATTCTGCCACATATATATTCGCAATGAAATATTAATCTCAAGTTTTTACGGAGTCTATTTTCTTAAATAGAGCCGATGTGTCGTAGAAAGTCTAAATTCGACAGTTCGCCCCAGACTGGAAGCTCTCGTTTCAGAGCCACACGCCCAGTCGCCGTTGGCTTAGAAATTTTCCAGGCTTTCAAACTGTTTGCAAGATACCTCTGACATAGTTTTCAAAGCTTGTGAACTTCACATCTGGATATAATTCCCTCGCATCAAGATATCCAAGATAGCGTGCATACTCAGGAGTATTCTCGCCTCGAATACCAAGCAGATTCCGATACTCTCCCATACCAATCTCGGGGTTGATTGTCATAATGTCCTGACCTGTGCGACCCTGGGAGATAATGCCTTTCAGCTCTTCCTTAGTCATCTAAGCCATCTGTCAGTGCCTTATTTTCCAGAAAAGGACGAGGGTTCAGTGAGCGTACGAATTCTCGTGTCACAGTTTCTCCCGACACCTTCTCAAGAATGTCGAAGGCTTCATTCTGTGTCTTGACCTCTCCATATGCAAAAACCATCTTGTTCAAGGTCCTCGGATCGGCGATGATTCGGCTGACAAAATTTCCAATGTCACGATTGTTGGTAAGTGCCCAAGGGGTATTGCCGTCCCCGATCACACGCGTGGTGCAGTATTCTTCTACCATTGGGCGAAATCTGCCTGAAGGTAGGGCAGGCAATGTCAGCTGATACCACCATCCAACGTCGATGATGGTATAAGGCAGATGGAGGTCCCAGATACGGTCAACGAACTCCTGTTTCTGCCATGCCGATGCTCGAATTAGCAATAGTCTCAATATCGATTGTGAAAACACTTCACATGAGGCACACCATTTCATTGGAGTCTCACCTTATCCCTGAGCATCATCACGCCTCGGGGTGCGCAGATCGGGCCCCAAAAGCTTGGAATATATCGACCAACGTTAACCTTGCTCGATGCTTCGATAAGATTCATCTCCTCCTGAAATGTGAACAAGGTCAAGCACGAGATGACGACGTCCATGTTAGTGAGGACTCCGGAAATTGCCTCTGTTGGCCCATCTAGCTCAATCGCCTTAACGTGGACGCCTTGCTTTGCAAACTCAACGAGCTCGGGCTTCTTTATCGAGGAGGGTCTCGCTAGAGCTGTAACTTCCTGTCGCCAAGTGAGTTAGATGCGCCCAAATCCAAGTGCAGAGATCCGATCCGACAAAATCCAACTTACGAAGAGTTCGGGACTCTTCAGCAGCGCATTCACAATGGAAGAGCCTGTGTTCCCAGTAGCGCCGGCTATGGCGACTTTGATTTTGTTCGCCATCATATCTTCTGAATTTTCTCCTTCGCTCAGGTACGTGGCAAAGATCTTGAATGTTACTGGTTTAGGTAGACTGTTACGCCGATGGATATGCGGCAGGTATGGTTAAATAGACACCATGTGAGTCTACCGAGACTGTACTACTCGGAGACATAATGGGCTTGATAGACCCCATCCAGGCGTAATTATAGACCGAAATATTGAAATGGTAGCTCGTCTCAAGTTTTGGAATCGTGGGATTCGGCCGAAAATCGGTCGAATGCTTATCGGGGGCCGCGTCGGGTAGCGACTAACAACCCGAACGGAATACAGATTCCCAGTTATCCAATTAGCACCAAGGGTAGTGGAGTAAGAATAAGGGTTTCCGGCTATGGAGCCCATGTTTCGATGTCTCATGTCATCTGCGAAAGTCGTGGAGGTCTTTCACAATTCAATCTCACTTCTATTCCATGATCCGATCATCACTCCTCGCCGTAGCCTTCCCCACGCCGACGTGTCAAAGTACCTATCGTATGATCTTTACATTGCATCAATAGATGTCTTCCGACTTTGAAATACAAGATGCTGATATCCTGCCGTTCGTGAACTTTAGTCACATCCGTCATCAATTGAATAAGGTCTCCTTCTCGTACTCATCCTACTTGCCTCGAGTGAAAGATCGAGTGAAAGAAGAGTAGGATATTTTACTTCCTTGAAAGTCATGGTATAGATGGTCTCGCCTTCTCATCAATACGATGGCGCCAACTTCTACCCCAGAGTGCGACAGCCCAAACACTGAGAGCTCCGACCACCAAGAAGCCGGCAGAAATGGTGCTGAACCATCCAACTCCAATTACCTTGATTGCTGGAAGTACAACAGCCGAGCCAGCGGCACCAAAGAGGTATCTTACCATAAAGTTGCCCGCAATCACCTCCGCGCTGCGTCCCTGTATCACATCCAAGCAGTATGTGTTCAGACTGGGGAAACAGAACAGCTGTGATACACCTCCGAGGAACATGAAAACGACAGGTACAGCAATGCCACCAACGCGCTGCTGGACTGTCCATCCGTAAATGAGCATACATCCCGGCAGAACGGCCCCCAAGAAGGGAAGACAAGAGCGCAGCCGGTCTTCGGAAATGCGTCGTCCATGTCGCTCGGCTATCCAGCGCCGAACTGTATAATCGGCATAGCGGCCACCTACGAGGGTACCAGCAAGATAGCCGCAGCCCGGAGCCAAGTAGAATAGGCCCGATTGTGCCGGCGACGTCAAAGAGAAACGAGGGTTGAGAACGTATCGGATCGGGGTCAGCATGCCGTACATGTTCCATACGAGCGAGCCACTGGCGATTGCCACCAGGATGAGGTTCGGAAACTTGAATAGTCGAACAACTCTGACCGGGTTCGTCATGCCCCATAGCACGCTGACCTTTTTACTGAATGCAAGCCCTTCGAGGCCTGCCTTTTTCAGTTCTTGCAGCGTCTCTGGCATGAACAATATGGCACCTCCAACGCCGACACCTGCGAGCGCGGTTTGAAGCCAGAAGATGGCACGCCAAGATGTGTAGGTCACAATAATACCTCCGAGGACTGGGCCAATCGTCGGTCCAATGAGTGTGCCGGATAAGAACCAACCCATCGCAGTCGCGCGTTCTGTAGGATGATACAAATCGCCAATCACTGCAGGACCGGTGACGAGGAACGATGTTCCGGCAAAAGCGGTCAGGATGCGAAACACGAAGAAAGCCGGGACGTTGGGGCTGAGTGCTGTGCCGATCGAGCACCCCAAAAACAATGAAGCTGTCACCATACATGTCTAGATCAATTTGTCAGCCATATATCCTCTACATTGATGAACAGGCGACGGCTAGTTGACAATGAACTCGTCGCGGAATGATAAGTGGTGTTTGTAAAGAAACTACTTGCCCATTTTCGGCCGTACACTTGGCTCAATGGCCCCCAAAAGCAGGGGCTAATGGCCATAAAGACAAGATACAACGCATTGCTAAGACTGACGATATCTCCGCTAGTCTTGTACTCGGCTGCAACTTCAGGGAGTGCTGACAGGACCGCCGTACTAGAGATTGGTGACAACAAACCACACCAGGAAATGACGGCAACAGTGATGTGCTTGCGGTGCTTTGAAAACCGATTGTATATCTCGTAGGGCACTTCCACATTAGATTGATGACGGGCCACTGGATCGTCTTGGTAATTGAGGACTCCTGATGGAAGCTTTGCCAAGCTTGGTTGCGATGAATCATCTACGACAATAGGGTGAGTTACTAAAGTTGATAGCTCCACTGGCTGGGCCAAGACGAACCTCCTTTGGCAGTTTTGGACCTCGCAGGGATGATGTCGGCGTACTCCTCAATGTCGTCATCGCGCCTATCTGAGGAGGTTCTCTGGGAAGAGTCTCCTTGTTCGCGAATGCTGTTGTCGATTGCCATTGTAGGCCATTTGTTTCCAGAGGCAAATTACTATCCAGAGTTCGTCTAATTGAATGGTACAGGAAATTTTGACAAAGACAAGGAGCAAAACTTGTTTCCGCGGCGTACGGAAATGGGCCACTGATATGACGGCCGATATCCGTGACTAACCCTCCACTAGATGGGGCCGACTCGGCAACACCCGAAGCCTGGCTCCGGACATCGGGACTATTGCACCTCTCGGAGGGGCGATGCTGGTATTTGAGAGCACTTCTAAGGCGTCTAGGACCCTCCGTATCCGCAGATGTTGAGTCAGGTATACCGGCATGACGGTAAGTGTCCGAAAACCACAGTACTCGCAGTTAAACATACAACTCACCTTCTAAGGCAGTAATGCTTACAGTTTTCTTTGATGAATTGACTGTTCCGCCATGATACCATCGAAATCAGCCTGGTTACTTTGAATTGAGAATTTTGGGTTTACAGGAGAACAAGGCTCACGCACATTTCAATCAACTTGTCGGATGGCCGACCTGGACGAGTGCTCCGACGCCGGACCCGTCCTGTAACCGAAATGGAACCTGCTCCACCGCATTGGTTGACGCTGCAAACAATGCGTCAGGTTCCGGCGCCTCGGCACGGAATTCTTATCGTCGGCTATCCGAAAACGTGATGGAAAGAAGATTGTTGCAATGTCAACCAATAGGTAGCCGGTTTAAGTGGGCTGTCCCGTATTGCCATGGTAAGTCCGGGGAATCCCCCAAGCAAGCCTCTTGACACTTGTTGGAACTTGGCTGGACTCTGGAGTCTGGAGAGGGAACGGTGACACAGCGTCTGCATCATCGTCTCAGTACGCTTCCATTCAAGACACAGGGATACGGTGCATCTCGGAAGCACTGAGCGATGGAATTGACGTAGTGAGCTCGGTGGTGGAGTTTTTGTCCCTGAAAGAGCTTTGAGTGGTCTACCGCACGACAGGCCAATAGACAGTACGCTTTGTTGGATTTGTAAGTCCTCGGGATAATCGTGACGCTGTTCTCTTTTACAGAGATTGAATAGAGTTGCCAAGATTCTCTGGCGGGGCCGAGTCTTGAACTTGCTGGCATAGCTGAGCTTTACCGGCTCCCGGGGATAGCCGAAACTGGCAATCATCTGAGTCTCGCAACAGCACCCCCGAAAAGAAGAGACAGACCCCGCTCCGTGACCGCCCGGCATCGGTTCGACCCCGGAGTCGGGCGGTGGTCGTTGATATTGGCAAGGAAAAGCCCCTCTCAAAGGCCGAACGGCACGGGATGGCGTGCTCTCGAAGCGGGTATGGGATCCAGCTGTGAATGGCCAATGCTAATTAACCTTCTTGAGCACATTGCCAGATGGGGTAATGAGGAGTACCAAGCAGAAGAGGTTTGCTGTGTCAGGCAAAGCAGGGAGATGAATGTGGAGAAAGCTTTGTGTCACTTAAGCTTCGAGGGCAAACATCTGGAACATCAAATACACCTTAGGCTAAGATACGCGATACGAGTATTGCTCCTCGAAGTACTCACCAATTCTTCCTAGCGTAGACAGCTCCAACATCAAAAATTCACATGCACACAAGCTCAATTTGCCAACTTAAAAATGTAATCAAGCCTTGCCAGGTGCCTTTCTCGGTGTAGTGCTCGGCGATTCGGCAAGATGCACTTCTTTAGGCGACCGAACCAATAGCGCCGTACTGGTGTCCCGGTGTGCATGAAGAATCCTGTCTTCAGCCCCTTAGAGAGCTCCCCACGTGCTCCATCGAGTGGCTGAGGACAGTCCTCGAATTGCACCCTCTTTCTCCAACACGCCGCCGCCTTCTCAGGCTGCAGGCAGTAATCTCCCGCGCAATGGGTGTCGCGCAGTGTACTCAGTGTACCAGCTATGTGGTAACGGGCCCGTTTGGAAAGACCCTTTAATTCGAACCCCATCGCCACGTTGTGTCATGGGCGATCCGAACCTTGCCGAACTCACGGACGTGGAGCGGCTCTTGGGCATTTTACTTCCCTACATTGTCTCAACTCATACAACAGTCATTTCCGAGTCATGGCTATCGACATTGAGGAGCTCATTCTGGCTCCTCTCCGCGAAGTAGTAGAAAGGGGGGAGGAATCTGCAAAGAATGCACACGATGCACAGGATGAGGATCCAGAAACATCCCGGGAGATGGCCAAGTCAGCCAGCACCATCGCGAAAGAAGGCCAACGGGCATTGAAGCGATTACGACCTTTGTGGAATAGCCAGTTCGAAAAGCATGGAGATGTCTTCAAAGAGACCATCGCCGAAAATGGTATGTTGAGCCGTGGCATGCCTGGATGGTGGTCGATTGACTGATGTTCGAGAAAGATGATCTGGCGGAGAAACGAAGAACACTTGAAGAACTGCTTTACGACTTTGAGGATTACATAGAGTTGGACACTTTCGACTCGACCAAGTTTACCGATATTCAGACGGCGACACGAAGCTTTGCTCTAGTGGTACTGGACGCTATTCAGAGGGTGAAAATCGACGTCAAAACTCCGACCACGCCGGTGCACAAGTTTCCGCCATTGCCGCCTCTACCACCATTACCACCCCAGCTGGCTCAGTCACTCAGCGCCAGCCCGCAAATTCGGCCGGGACCGCCTTTGCGAGGTGGAAGCCATGGAACCGCCAATATTCCTTCATTTCCTGCCGTACCGCGGCAACCCAAGCCGTCAGTGAGCCGTAGTCGCACGAGAGGCTCACATGGCTCGTCTGATAGTGCGACGGTGAGGCGGGCTCACTCCATAGCCGAGTCAACAGATTCAGATCCTCCATCATCTGGTGGATTTTCGGGAGCTAATTCCTCCAGTAAAGGGGAAAGACGACCGTTGTCCCCAGGTGTTCTCAGCGATGGGATGGGCCAGCTGAGGATTGTCACTTCACCAGAACCCTTACAGCCACGGACATCAGATTGGGTTGAAGAGCAGACCTCTGTTCCAAAAGCCAGGCGACCTTTCCGTGGAAGCATCCCCGAGAATTCTGCCGTGGATGATGATGCATTTAGCGATGGTACATTCGTATCCCGGATCCATCGAAGAGGCTTCGACACCGTGACGCCGCAAAGCTCGGTATTTGATCCAACAAGCCCTTCAACTACAAATAGAACGTCGATATACTCCGATGTCCCAACTTACTCTTCCAACGTAACTTCACCTGAGCTTCCAATCATCGATGTGCGGATGTCACCTAGCGCAGGAACAAAATCTGATCCAGCCCTTTCCGTCGATTTCCCATCTTCCGGACTCTTTACAGATGGACTGATGCTGGCTGATGAGCAAGCAGCCTCAGAAACTAGTACGCAACACTTGAGATCCATCTCAACAATGGAAAAGGAAGAAGGATGTTTGATAGGGCCAAAGAGCTCTTTTCATCAACTCAAGGGATTCTGTGACGGCGCACAAACATTTCGCCGTGGAGGATATTGGCACGGCATCAAGCAGACCATGACGTGGGTAAGTCAACCCTCAACCCCCCAAAACATTTTCAACGCACGGAATCCAGCTTGGGAAAAGTACAACTAAAACAAAAGCAGGGCGAACCACTTCCAATCGGCCGGTGCATGGATTGCGAGTATCATCATTTGAACAGATCACTAACTCTAGATAAAGAGGGTGACTGTAAGCCAACCCGAGTTTCCATTGATTTGCTTTGCTGTTTCTGACAACCCCAAGCCCGAGCAAACTTTCTGAAGTATGGCATACTCTACCGTGTGCGCTTGCTGGTCAAATCTCACATCACGGTGAAAACAACAGCGGAAATCCGATACGCGTGTCTCTTCTGCACCCATATCGGACGCACTGTTCACGAGGGGGATGCAACCGTCTTCCAGAGCGCAGATCAGCTCCTCCAACATCTCTCTCGCCATCCACAGCCTCTCCCTGAAGTTCCTGGCGTTACTGTCTTGTATGGTCAAGTCGGCAAGGACCATCATCAAATCGAGGATTATGATGTCCATTTCCCATCGCCTCCAGCTCCAAGTTCATTCCCCGATAATGATATTCTCACCCAGTTTCCCGTCGCCACGGCTTTGAAGAGCCACGTTCAGCGGAGAGGCGAGAACCTGCTGGGCCCTGACGGTAGCTCAAATGTGCTCACATTCTTCGTTGGCGCAAAGATTGTCGGTGTTGAGTTTCCGGAGCAATGGGGCGGCAAGTGGTGCACCGGATGGCACGACGGCATTCAAGGACCCTTTCCAGCCAAATACGTTGAGATTGAGAGTCCAAAACAGAATGAGATTTCGTTCCAAGCTACCAGCGCGGTATCGATCACCACGAGATGGAGATGGGACCCTTCCGATAACTCGAGAGCAGGCTGGCTGACGTTTGGGAAGGAAGAGGTGATCAGAAACGTTGGGTGTAAGTGTTTTCTCCCTGCCCTGAGTGACTGGTCAGGCTCAGTGCTAGTGCTAACCTAAGCATCTTCAGGGCTTTACCAGGATCATTGGTGCTGGTCTGGAACGAACAGCAAAGGGAAGTTTGGCATCTTCCCTCAGTCACACATCAGCCCTCAGTCTCTAAAAGAGGGCTATTTACCGCCAACATTGAAGCGAACACAACCCAGCGGACCCATGAGGTTGTTCAGTCGAAGAAGAAAAAGTACTAGTACAGCCTCCTCTATGAGTGGAGATGCTTAGTGTAGAATGATTTGTGCATCCCACCATCTGGAATGGCGTTGATCTTCTCCAGAATGCTTTAGGGTGTCTGTTACCTCAATAGCCAGTCTAAATCAGCACATCTGAACTTGCTGCAAAATCTTCAGGAACTACCAAGAAGACTTTTAAACCGCAGTAGGAACCCGATGTCGTGTTCGAACCCCAAGAGCAGTCTCCGCGCTATGCAATGTGAAGATTGTGGTACGAGAAGCCCTCCTGAGCAGTGGGCCCCACTGATCATTCTCCGCCAATAGCTTTCAATCAGCAACTTGAGTTTTGAGGTGTGAGATCAGGAGACTCAGCGTCTCATCAAGTGTTGGAGCGCTGAATTAGACGCGATTGGGCGAGGGAACAATTATAATCGTATTCACTCATACATCGCAAACTAGAGATATAACCATAAGGGGAAGAAAGATCATCGCGGTTGAACTTCACGGGAGAGCAGGGTAGACAAAGCCCATTGTTGGGTGTGCCTTAGCACTCGATGATAGGTAAAATAAGGACAGCGAGATAGATCCCTTACTCGCGTCACAATTCAACGGGCAACATTCCTAATAAGCGGCATCATCTAAGACCAGCCAGACCGCTATTCTTATTGGTGAGCGCCTTCTTAGGCTGAAGCAGACTGTCTCACAGTTTCAAGACAGTGGAGGAACGAACAAAGCTACTTCAGCACGTGGAAAGTGTGGAAGGTTAAATTGTCGCGAAATTTCAGGATCCACGATAAAAAGGAACTCGCGGGTAATGCCCGCAAAGTGACCGTCTTGGGGTTCATCGACTGGTTTGCCGGTGTGCGGTCTTCGTTTCGAAATGATGAGAGTCAGCAACCCGTATTCTTTCCTCGTGATATCGTGATCTACAATCATGTTTTCCATAGGTGATCTGACGCGATTTGAACTAGCCGTTGGTTCGCTACTCCAGTGCTCGCGATAACGGAGCAGCGAAGGAAGACCGCCCCATCCTAGCATGATCCCAGCCGTCAATCCCAATTGGGTTAACCAACAGACGCCAACCTGCACGTTAAGGCGGCCGATCAGGGGAACGGCAGGGTTATGCCGCATAACGGTCTCGAATTAGGTGCGCCCATTCTGTATCCATAATTACGAGCCCAATTCAATGGTGGAGATTATTTCATTGACTTTTTGGGCACTCGGGATGAACGGCATGGGTCTGCTCATCTCCGCGCTCAGGTCGCGTCCGGAACAGCGCGAAAACTTGGGGTTAAATCCCAGGAAGGCCATCCCATCATGCATACAGATACCAGGTTCTCCATCGTCAGGGTATTCTTACGGATACTCACACATGCAGGTTGCGTATTCGAGCCGCTTGTAAATGGAGGGAGTCCAGTAGCAAGGCTTCAAGATTACTCTATAAAAACGTAATTCAAACTTGTGCGAAGGCAACGCCAGACATAACCCATCCGATTTTTGCGTGATATAATCCTCAATTTCCAGCCCATCCAAATGCACTTCGCTGGTTTGTCGCTACTCCCTTAATCGTAGCCGGTTGGTATCATTCGGGTTTCTCAAAACAGCTCTAAGGAAAAAACAAGATTCGTGCTTGTATCTAAATCTTGCTTAGAAGAGCATGTAGGCGGCGACGGCAACGGAGCCGAAGATGGCAAAGGTGGACTTGATGGCAGAGGCGCTGCTGGGAGCAGAGGTGGAAGTACCAGAGGCAGCGGAGCCAGTGGCGGTGCCGGAAGCGGTACCTGAGCCGGAGGCGTTAGAGGCAGCGGTTCCGGAGGCCGAGGCAGTGGCAGAGCCGGTGGTCACTGTGGTCACGGTGGTCAGGCCGGAGGTCTGGGTGACGGTGGCAGTGGCCGCGGAGCCGGAGGCCGAGGAAGACGAACCGGTGGCAGAGGCAGTGGCAGCAGAGCCGGAGGCGCTGGCCGATGCAGTAGCGGAGCCAGAAGCAGAGGCGGAAGAGGAGTCTAAATCATGGAAAGTCAGCGCGATTGCTTATAACCATCAGAGTGAAGAAATGAGTGGTCTTCACGTACCGTCAGAGCCAGTGAAGCTGAACTCGTTGGACTGAGCCAGGATACCAGAGTTCTGGGGGTCGACGGAGACGAGGTTGATGCGATAGGCATCGCCGGCGGCAACCTTAGCGCCCTTCAGCTCGTACTTGCCATCGGCGGCCTGGACGGTGGCGATGGTCTCAGAGACCTCGGGGTAGCCGGACTGGTTGACGATGACGATCTCGAAGCTCTTGGGGTCGCTGGAGACGGTCTCCCAGGTGATCTCGTTGGTCTTGGAGAGGTCCCAGTCGTCGCCCTTGGCGGGCTTGGTGACCTTGACGGCCTCGGCAATGGCCAAGAAAGAAGTGATAGCGACGGCGGTCTTGGAGAACATGTTGTCGTTTCTAAGTGAGAAATTAGATATAGTTTGTTTTTGGTATTTTGTTGAAGTTTTCCGGTATTAGAATAAGTAGTGTGTCTGAGCGAGTGACAAGAACGAACGTCCAAAATTGATGAATCTGAGAAGTTGACCGAACAACATAAGAGAAATTGAGCTTCCCCCCTCAAGCTTTATAAACAACCCATTTGTAGATGATCCCTGTCGATAGTGCGGACGAGTCAGGCTTGGTGCTCCCACCCCTCCTCCTCCACTCATTAGTGCCACCCCACCGCCCCATCTCGTATGCAAAACCGACTTTCAGAGAATTTTAGATTGCTGTTAAAACCATCAATTCATGGTGGGTTGGTTTCTTTTCTGCCAGCCGTGACGTAGGCGACTCCCTGCTTCGGGCGCACGCGAAGGAAGCAAATGGCATCCACTGCAACTCGTAAAAAGCAAAGGCCGTCGGCCGTCGGCCGGTATTGCCGAGACTATGGCCCATTGCCGCCAATAGAGTTCCGGGCTTTTGTTGTGATAGCCAGAGACAGATTGTTTATGAAACTTTCAGCTCTTTATAAAAAAAAAAAAAAAAAAAAAAAAAAAAAAAAAAAAAAAAAAAAAAAAAAAAAAAAAAAAAAAAAAAAAAAAAAAAAAAAAAAAAAAAAAAAGCGAAAGACTCACCAGGAACGGTCAATGGCTTCAGGCTTTCAGCACGAATGCTTTCTTGTCCCCAGGTCCAATCAGGAAACCTCCATTTGTGTCCATCCCCATCACACAAACCCAGGCGAGATGAGGCACACCCATGGTCAACACTGTTGGGGTTGTGGCTGGCAGACTAAATTCAGTAACCCCCCTTTTAGCTCGGTTGTGCGGTACCTTGCATGGAAGAGCCGCCCCCGTGCAGCACTGATTTCCACCCTAAGGAATCTAGTATAGTAAACAAAACGGGCTGTTCTCTTCGGACTCTCCTCCTTCTGTGCCTCTTTTTCTCGTCTAGGTTACCAGATACGCACGCACGCAGCAGGCCGGGCTGGGCGTGGTTGTTAGATTTGTTGGCATCGGGCAGCCAAAAGCCATCGTTTTCCTCGTGTATGTACTTTTCCGAGGCGACGATCGGTGGCAACGGGCCCTGTCATCTCGGTGGGCAGACCTCGAGCCTGTCTGTCACTTGTCAATCCAAATTTGACACAACCCGACCACTCGGAGGCTCGTCCAGTCGTCTCTTCGGTGGGCACCGCCAAGCTGGTTCAAAAGTTCCGACGGCGGAGTTCCTGACAGCTGCAGCCTGCAGCGGGATCAGTAAGTGTGACTAGTAGCAAGGACTTGGCGTCATACCAGCCCACCTGCACTTGGGGCAGAACTATTGATAGAAGACTCTACCTTAGCCGCAAACGAGCCACAGTAGCTCTTCGCGGGAATTTCGGGCCATTGTCTCGTACTTGGAAACAACTCTTCGTATCTATCGTGTTGTCTTCGCAAAGTAGCTGCCATCTTCGCCATCGCACTTTCCAGGGTGCCAGAGAACAACCAAACACACTGCCGCCGCTACAGCCGCTGGTGGAGTGAATTGTCATGGTCAAGGCGTCCCCAGCGCGCACCGAATTCCCGGCACGGTGGTCTTCGGAAGTAGCAGAATGGGGTCTTGATGGAAGCACAATCTTAGCCGCGGCGCGAAATTGAGACTTGACAACCGCATGCTGCCCATGCAGAGTGCTCATTGATATGACTCTTTTAATAGTTACCTGATGCTGCCTCGAAGTCTGTCACTTTGTTGTACTACGTAATAGCCAGCCTGGAAAGAGACTCAAGTGAATGATGTGCTCTCATTCTCGCTATTCGTTCTCAGGCAAGGGGATTACTTGAGAACAACAGAAAACATAGCGTACTTCTTGCAATTGTTAACCAGCGCTTAGTTGGGTTTTGTCGGCACACCCAATGGTAGTTGGCCGGCAGCGTTGAGACATGAACACAGCAACATAGCCTTTTCTTCAAGGTCTACCAAATTGCCTCCCATGCTGTCTTTCAAAGAGAGAAATCAAGTGGCGCGGAAAGTCCTTACACGTTGCAGGACGGCTTGATCCCTTTGATGCAGGCTATGACTGGCGTCATGCTGCCAAGAACAAATACTTTCTCATGAAATAAGAGTTACGGATATCTCAACTGAATTAACGAAACTTTTGATCATTCATCTATTTGGCCCAAATTCAGCTGGGTTTTACAAACAACTCGATGATTGATTGAGGCTCAGGCTGGCAAAGGAAAGCCATCAGTTGACCTATATAGAACAGGTAGATGACGGAAGGTCTCACTATGTTAAGGTCTAGCTCAAACTCGTGGGAAAAGAGGCATCGCAGCCTTCCTAAAAAGAACTCTAGAAATATTCAATTCTGAGCCCCCATTAGCTTTTAGCTAGAAATGAATCACGATGTCGATTGGTGGTATCATGCACGTAAGACTTGCAATTTCGCTAGCATCTATCCGAGTAAAAGTCAATAGTTTCAACACCGATGTAAGCCTAGGCATCAGTTCTTGGACACAGACACACAAGGAGCCTACCTCACATGCACGATAAAAAACTTTGACCTATGAATTTTCGAACTCCTGTGAAGCAGATGTCTCACATTCTCAACATTCGTTTTATGCTCGCGTGTATGATGATGCTCACTTTTCCAAGTACAGTGTGATTCGGTGGCTCCTGACTTGCGAATCTTTTCAGGCATCCATTGACAGATTCGATTCAGTATGTGTTCACAATACCATAGGGTTTTATGATCCATAGCGTCCGTAACTGGCTCTTAAAGCCATGATGACTGGACCTGTTTGCACATTCGAGAGAGGTCCGAAGTTTTGGACCGCGCAAATTTCGTGAGTTCTACAGCACCCATCCGCCTCTTCAGATCGTACTCCAAGCTATTTGACAACGTTTCGACCAAAATTGAAGCTTCAATGTCAGACATCTGTGGAAAAGTCTTCAGCATCCTATCACTATCGTCCCCGTAAGCCACAAAATAACTTCCGTTCATATACAGGGCTGTAAGTCTTAAAGCCTTGTCGAAAATGCTTCTTGATAAGGTATTCCTGGAAGCCTGTCACTTTCAAACTGCGACAGCATGGGGTCAACCTTGGCAGGGTATAGTGGTGCTCTGTTTAAATCTATGAACCAGCTCAGGGGCTCCTGAAGGATCTTGTCAAAACGTAGTTCTTTCCGCTTCTCGAGCAGATCGCCGATCGTCTGGGCGATCTGCCTGAGAACGTCTTGGGGGAGCGATTTGCGTCACAGCTAAAGAAGAGATCGTCTTCAGATCTAACACGAACGATCGCGCAGGTAAAAGCTCACACGCTCATAAATCGACAGCTACTCCAACCAGCGTGGCTTCAACTTCCTTGAAGCTTGCTTGTCTTAGCTTGTCCGTCAATGTCTCTAATTATCATTAGGTTCACAATTCATACAGTCACGCTTTTCTTCAGCTGATTGAATCAATCTCACGTGTATCGGCGTCCACTAGATGAGCGCGGATCGTGGGGACTAAACTGACCTGCACACACTTCATGTAACAGAGGCCACAGGCAAAAGACAAAGCGTAATCTAGTAATAGGCAATTACTCTTGAGAAGACCAGAACTCAATCATGCAGGTTGGTTTCAAGAAACATGATGACATTCGTGAAACGCATTGTAGCAAAGCCAAAGACGAGAACACAAGATGGCCGCTAGAACGATAGAACATGATCGATACTGTAAATATAATGGAGCCCGAGAAACGCACGCTCATAATTACCAGGCAGTCACTGTCTGGACTTGCCTTTCTAACAGGAGACTGCAGACCTCCAAAATAGACTCTCCAATCTCAGTTCTGCGTAGCCTTTTCTTCCCCTTCCTTGGGGAACGGCTTTCGTCCGTAGATGGAGTATCCGTACCAGTACGCATGGATGCCCAAGTTCTTGGCATCATTTCTGACGCTTGTACAAAATGCAAGGACCTCGTTAGGTTCCCAGTCCAGCACGCGGGTAAAGAGGGCGAGGCACAGGCCCTCAATGCCGGGGAGGAGCGAAGCCGACGTCCACACACCCAGCGCTTTCAACTTTTCGTCCTTGGCCCAAGGCGACGCCGGCATGACCTGCTTCGTGACTACCACGTCCACGAAGCCGGCCTCCTCGAGCATCTTGTCAAGCTTGGAGGCAATGGTAATGGGACGGCCAATCTTGTCCGTGGCCTCGACAAGGTACTTTGACCACTGGAACAGCGCCGAATCCTCCTTGAGGGTGCCGTCATCGCACTCGAGGGGGTATAGGTTATCGTGGACCTCAAAGTAGCCGCCGGGTTCGAGGTTTTCAAACGCCTGTCTAATGACCTTTGCCCAATCCTGGAAGCTGCCAGCCATATTACGCGCAAAGATAAAGTCGAACGGGGTCGTCCACGTCCACTCTTTCTCGAGATCATCAACCTCAAAGTAGCAGTTCGGAGGCACGAACTCGGGTTGAATTGGACTCAGGTCTACGCCTAGAACTTCTGCACCTTGGAAGGCGTCGGCGTATAGGATGGACCACACGCCCGTGCCCGTGCCGAGGTCGAGAACCCTCTTGGCGCCCTGGTTCTTGGGGCACAGGCAAAACTTACCGTCCCAGGCGATGAGCCAGAGATGGTTCGCAATGTCGAGACGCTCTTGTTCAGTCTCATCGTTGGGAACGAGGTAGCTGCCATCGCTGAGGCGGTGGTACCTGCGGCCGTTTTCGAGCCGATAGTCAAAGATGCTTGGGGTCACAGACGCCTGGGATTCGTTTGTTGTGGCAGTAAGTCCGCTCTGCAATGAGGATGCGTCGGTCTCATTCTCAGTATCGTCGCCAGCGACAATCACTTGTGCAAGAGGATCTGTGCTTCCCCCCTCGACGTCGGGAGAGGCGGCTGCCAGGCTTGCCCGTTGAGCTGCCCGTTGATTCACCGTTTCGGCAGCCGGCTCTGTAACGGGCCCCGATGATGGGTGTGGGGGAGGTGCCGGTGTGTCGGCCATTGCAAATGGGTTTCCTGCCGTGAGGTAGCTCGAGTCGTGGAAAGTTTATTTAGTCGTTGCGCTAGAAGGGGCCGTGACTCGTGAGAACAGAGTGGGAAGTTGATGTGGCCAGGCAAATTCCCCCTAGTTTCCCCTCTCTTTCTCTAACAAGACCGCCCCCGCTTCCCTCTCTTCCACTGCTTAGTTGGTATCGTTTGTTGGTTTCTGCTCATATCACTAAGAACCCACCACACGAAAATCGGTAGGGGCCCGGGTCCCCGGTCCCCGTTCCAGTCATCTCCTCCGTTACCTTACCGTTCTCGTACTAGTGCCAAGCTTGCTTCGGAAGCGGAACAACATCACCACCGACCAAAAATTCCCCCGGACACGACCAAGGCCACCGAACGGCTCACATCACCTCACCTTGCTATACATCGTTGAAGCTGTGTAGCTCCGCGATCACGACGCCCCGAACGCCCGACACCTCAATCGATTCCCACTCGAACCTCCCAACGTAACCGTCCATTCCTCCCAACCCCAGCACGAGCCCAAACCCTCCACACAACCTCCAACCATGGTCGTCCGCATACGCCTTGCCCGCTTCGGGCGCGTCAACCAGCCCTTCTACAACATCGTCGTCACACAAGCAAGGTACGCCTTCGACCACAAGTCACCATCCCCAGAAGATCACATCATCGCCGCCATGAGATGAGCACTATAAGCCCCCTCCCTCCATTGCCAAGAGGCAAAGCTCTCCGCATCGCAAGCTTCAACAGAGCACAAACCCAAACGAACCTCGAACACAAAAAGAGAAACCTTCCCCAAAGCTAACCCTTGACTCTTCTTCACCAACAACAGAACAGCCCGCAACAGCAAACCAATCGAAGTGATCGGCACCTACGACCCCGTCCCCCGCCAAGACCCCTACGACGCGACCACCAAACCGCACAAGGACATCCGCCTCGACTCCCTCCGCGCCCGCTACTGGGTCGGCGTCGGCGCCCAGCCCACCGAGACCGTCTGGCGCTTACTCTCCATGGTCGGCATCCTCCAGCCCAAATTCAGACCAAACGGCACCGCCAACACGGCGACGGCGGCAAAGTCGCTGAGGACACCTACCTCTCCGGCCAAGGCGGCGGCACCGGCGGAATCATCATAGGCACCGGCAGCGATATTTTGTAGGAAAGTTTTGCTCAGACGGATGAGACGAGGATGGGGTAGCTAGCCCATATCGGCTGGGAATGTGTCGTGTATCAAAAGCATCAAAAAGCGTCGCGCGAATCGCAGGGGTCGCACTTGGCTCTTTCACGCATGGGATTCGTGATGGCGCAGAGTGGAAGAGGCAGATGGCGGGATTGTACTATTAAGGCGAAAAGAGACGGCAACGGGCAGGCCAGAAAGGTGTCCAGGGTGCGGCTCGGCTCGCCCACGGGCATTGACGAGGGACCGTGAGGTGATGACGCCAGAGGCATCCGGCACCACGTCACATCACAAGAGTTGTACAATAAAACGACTCTAAAAAGACCAAAAATGTCACTCCCGATTGAAGCTAAGTTTGAAGGTTATCAAAAGGCCGCTCTGACTATGAGCCGATGGGCCAAGTCTGTCCTAGAAACTGTTTCTAGACTAAACAATGAGAAAGAAGACCAATGCTGGACGTAATCAACGCCCTTGACATGCAGCCACCACGCTGGTAAGGGGTACACGAAGAAAACAAAAGAAGCCCCTTAAGAATCAGAAGAGAAGCAGACCATCCAACTCCAAAAAATGCGCGACGCTGCCCGTGGGACTTTTTATGACGTCGCCGTATGCTTATCCCGAGCGGCCGTATAGTAAATATATCTGCATCGTCGTCTCAATGGAACAATTCTTCCTCTAAGCCGCATCTTCATCAAAGATGAAGGTAGCCGCAATTAGTGAGATGCGTGGAACACAATGTTCATAAAGAGGCAGACCACCATGACACATACGCCGTAGATGGCGAGGGCGAGGGCCATCTTGCGGAGGGCGTCTTGCTCAATGTGCTCGAGGTCCCAACGCCACTTGCGCTTCCACTGGCGAGGATCCGTCACATGGCTGGCAATGCTCCCAAGACTGGCGATACTAGTTGTCATAGGATCGGCATCCTCTTCGTCATTGGGAGCATCGGCGTCATCGTCCTCCTTGTGAAGGCGTTGCTGATGGATGCTGTCGGGGTCGCTAATCTTGTAGTAAAACAGGCCTGGAAGGATGAAGCTGATGCTGGTTGAGCCGGTGCTTCCAACATAGGCCAAAACTCTCTCGAGACTGTGTACTGAGAGAGCGGTGACATAGGAAAGAATGAGAATGACTGAGGTCAAGATCGCAAATCGAGTCTCGCCCATGGATGAGCTGGATCCGTGGTCGGAGCGTACAGAAGCCGACGAGGGCAGCAGCGGGCGTCCGCCCGGAGAGGTAGACCGGCCGTTTGCGTTCGAAGCACGGTTAGGCCGCCACTTGAGGATAGCATCGACGGAGGCGCGGCAAGGGTGGACCTGAAGAGGAACCGAGAAGGTGACGAGCACTACTATGGCAAGCTGTCCGATATAGGAAGCGGCAGTTGCAGAATCTGAAAAAAGTCAGCAGGGTCTGAGGGTACCATCCTCCCAGGGTCACTTACACATCATGACAATATTGCCCTTGACAGCGTTGCCAAACGTGAGGTAGCCAGTGATAGCTACGACAATGTAAATCGAGGCGGCCGTGCCGATGCTAGTGCCAACAACCCCTATGACGCTGCCAGGAGAATTGTCCTTTATCTCATTCAAGATGGCAAACATCTGTCCACGGAATCAGCATAAAGCCCCGACGACCAACCAAGGTCAACTTACGTTCTGATGGCATGTGTAGGCAAAGACAACAACCGGCAATGTGCTGAGGAATGCGACAGCGCTTTCGGGCTCAACAACTCGAATTTCGCTCATGTCCTTGAGCCGGTCCGTTGAGAAGTGATAGATGACCAAAATGACGAGGTAGCCGATGGAGACCAGAGCAACAATACTGGTATACTTGAGCGAGTCGAGCTTCTTGAGGAAGCTGAGAGGAATAATGACCAGCATGAAAGCCGTAATCCAAAAGTTCCTCTCGCCGAGGTAAGGGTTCTCCGCCACGGCACTCGCGAACAAGCCGATGAAGACCTTTGGCATCAAGTCGCCAATGATGATCATGTAGGAGACACCCACCCCAAAGCATTTTATCGCAATGGCAGTGTCAAAGATGATGGCGGCGTTTGGGTACGTAATCTTGGAAATGGCGAAGAAGGACGATGTCCCTCGATCAAGGTAGCGGGCGCAACGAGACTGAAGATACAGGCCAAAGGCGGCCGTGAGTCCAGACCATACAATCATCAACACACCGAGCATACAGCCCATATGCGACACCACTGATGGCATTGCCAACGTTCCCGCGCCAACGACTGTAGTCACGATTCGTCAGCTCTTTTTCTTGCCCCGCACTCGTGTGCCATCTCGTGGGAATCCGCGACAGGACGTACTAGTATTGAGCAGATTGATCACACTGCTCAGCATCGAGGCCTGGCCTCCCCCCTCCTTAGTATTTCTTCGGCGTTGTCTGCAGATTTGTATCCCATGCGTCAGCAAAGCTCTCTTCCATCTGGGTGATCTGCCTGTATGCGCCTTCTGCTTCTGCGGGGAGGATCGGGAATTCGGCATACCGTGACATTTCGCCGGAGCTTCCAGACGCAATTGAATTTGCGTTTCCATCAGTAATGCTAGAGTAATTCGTCATAGTATTGCTCGCCCGTTTCGTGATTATCGATCACCGTCGGTGTCGTCGTCTTGATCAGTCGGTCGTCGGTCGTTGTTCGTTGTTCGCTGTCGTCGCCAGATTACGTCGCAAAGCTCTCTCTCTCGTTCGAGTGGTTGGTAATAGTAGTCGCAAGCGCAATCGAAAAAGCGGAGGTCAGATAAGAATAACCAAAAAATAAAAATAAAAAGAGTCCGTAAGAAGTTGCCGGATTGGGGAAGTAGAACGAAGTGTCCACAACTGTGACCCAAAGTCATAGAACACAGTCACAAGTTGTGAGTTATGATAGATATGGAGCTGTTTTGTGGATGGTTTGTCGAGCAAAAGCTGAAAGCGTACGAGTAACAAGAGAGGTCGAAAGAAAGCAGTTGCTCGTCGTTTATCGGAAGAGGAGAGAAGAAAAGAAAAGCAAGGCGGCGTTTCTCGGCTTCGCGGCGTTTGGAATGCGACTGCGGCTTGCGGTTACGGCTTTGCGGCTTGCGGCTGCAGGAGGTAGGTGGTCGGTCGTCACTCGTCAGTGGTGTTCGAGTCGTCGCACCCACCCACACACTCTCTCAGTCAGTCAAGGCGGAGAAGGCGTAGAGAAGGCGTGACGTTGCGACGAATGGCCGGCGGAGAGTTTGCGCAGGGCAGCTGTGACGTGCTTTTGGAGGAATCTCTCGAAATCAATCGAGAAAAAGGTGGTTGCCCCTGCTGGGACAAACCTCGCAGGCTTCGGTTCGGGGTGTAGCGACCGAGTAATTCAAGGTTTCTGGTTCTGCGGCGGGCTGACGCTGGCTGAATGGGGCCGCCGGGCTGAGAAGGCAGCACTGGGACGGACGGTGGACGGGGTGGCCAATAACGGCCAGCAAGCACTTTTCGTCTGCCTGTCGATCTCTGGATGCCCTTCTTGGGGGGCGGCGACAAAACGAGTCACGACGGCACGTCCAAGGTGTCGAAGGTCGTCTCGGTCGCAAAGTCGCAGGACGGACGGATAGATCACACGACAATGTGCGATGCGATGCGATGGTCTTTTTGCTTCCCCCGGGACGTGGGTAAGGTGTATACGTGTACAAATGGGAAAAAGGACGTATGTATCCGTTGAACACTTCAGCCCCCCGCAGGTACAAAGTACACGCTGAACGGGAGAAAGACAGAAGGAGCAAGAGGAGGGACGAGGGTTCCCGCTCAATAACCGAGAAGTTTAAAGGTATTGATTATGGACAGGCGGCGGGCAGCTCCCAGAGTAAGGTGGTATT